TAGCTTAGGCTAAAATACATTCTGGTATTAATCCTACAGCTGTCATAAATCTGGGTAACACAATTTTTATTTAGCTGAAAATTTGGTTAAAATTGCAACTAATTCATAATATCACATTATTATATGTTATTTAAATTGTTTACAATCTTCCTTGATCAATCTAAAACATAGTTCCAGGAAATGAGATGAAAAAAAAAATGTTCAACATACCAATTGGTTTTAACCCAACTTCTACCATAGCTTTTTTAACATCATTCATAAGACGCTGGTATGTCTTGTCAGTCAACGAGTCATACAGTATGTATCTTACAGGTATTGCATATGGTTTTGTTTTACGTTGGTTGTTCATCCGCTATCATGAAAACCAATACATGAGAGGCTGCTTTCTGCTTCTTCTTATATAAATTGCGGAGGTAGTTGAACATCTCCGAGAGTTCCTCATGGAAAGCCATTGCCAATATTTGGGCCATTTTTCACTGATGCGCAAATAACCTTCAGTGACCACAATGTAGTTGTCACACATCTGGCTAAGGACTTTATACTCATGTACTTCCCATGACAGTTTCATCAATGTACTCTCTGGTGTTCTGGGGTCTGCCTGTTTTTTATTAAACAATTCACATGCTTTCTTCTCTTCTGCTTTGAGAAAGACTTTGTCTTCTTTTAGTTCTTCTAGCTATGTTTTGTATTTTGTACGGTAATTAGCAGCTTTGGCAAGGGAGTTTACCCTGTTTCGTCTTTCAACACAGTCTTGATACATAGCTTCCAACTTGCCATCAGAATGGTCAACATCACCATGCCAAAGCTGCTTCTTTGACTCCTGTAAAACGGCGTGAAGATCTGTTCTATCTGCCTTAATCCACATGCGTCTTCCTGGTGTGGATTGTTGTAGCTGTTGTAAACTGATATCTGTTAGCAAGAATATAAAGAAAAATATATTTTTCCAGGGGTATTGCCTATACTGATACATGGAATACGATAATTAATGTTCACATAAAAAAAAAATGTTACAAGTTTATGAAGATATAAAAACACAAGTAAGACTACATATTTGTCAGTGATTTCTACAATTCACTGACTGGATCTTTGGTAGATATACTTGTATAAGGTTATATCTTTGACAACCAGCAATAAAATCTCACCTGTAAAGAGGTGTCAGCTTTGTAATCACTCTTTTCAGCTATAATTTCCAGTCTTTGAATGCTGATTGACGGTATATTAACCCTTGCCTAGATAAATTAAAAACGGAATTATAAGCACACCACAATTAAACAAACCAGATGCTTACATTCAACTTGCAGTGAATGAATATGATTTAAAAAAACACAAAAAAACTTGGTAATTTAATTCAGTAAGTCGGTAAATACCAATACTTACATTTAATGGATGTCTGTCTTCAACTGCTATTCCACTCCAACAGGGTCCCCTATATAACTGTACAAATCTCTCTCCTAAATTGGCATGCATAGCCTCCAACCACTGCTGATATATCTCTGGGCATTTCCACTGAAATATTAAAATAGTAAGCATATTAATAGTGTTTTTTGCTCAGGACAAAAATAGACTTAGTATTCAGTATTATCTTATGAACACTTCAAACTATTAACTTTCTGCAATGTAAGCATGTCACAAGATATACATAATTACCTCAGTCGCAGAAGCACAGTTGAAAAGTCTGATCACATAGCTCAGCATTGGAAATGGCATCCTATCCAAAGGCATTCTTGGTGACCCATCATTTCTCTTTAATACAATTGCTTTCACTAGTTCATGTGGTATGTTATTTTATTTATTGCACTGGATTGTTTTCATGGCATCCACAGATAGTTGAATGTTGTTAGTAGAACGATTTATGATGTGGTGGTTATTTAATACTGTGATAAAACTGTGCTCTGTAAGTGCAACAAGGTTAGTTTTGTCAGTTAATGAAATAAGTGATGTAAGTACTGATAACTGGTCAGCTGCATTCATAGATGAAAATAAGTCATGCATCACTGATGACTTATCAGCACAGGACTGCATATTAAGTACATCAGGGCTTGTTAGTAGTTTTAATGGTGGAATGTCTTTATTTCTTATTCTTAGATATGGTGGTGTTGTTGATGGTGTAGATTCTGGATGTGATTGGTTGTTAGTCGCGTTGTTAATAATGTGGTTAGTGTTATGTATGGGAATGTCAATTTGGAATATGCCATTTGTCACTTCAGCATTTTCCAATGTCCTATACTTGGACTTGAGAGAATTTTCCCCATCAACAGTGTGATGTCGACAAGCATTACCTAAAACAGAAAAATCAAATTTAAATTGTTGAGATCTGTATCGGTACCTACAGTGTGGTTGGCACTACATACACATAGATTTCTTATATGCACTAGTACATAACTTGGCCAGTAGTAGATAGAGAAAAGCATAGAACTTCTACACATAACAGGAGCTCTCATTACAGTTCTTGCTCTGGCAAATTTTACTGTAATGTTTAGCCACTGTTGCTAACTGTTGATAAAGAATATTAGTTAACAACAAAGAATAAACAAACACAATTTCATTATTATAAACTTTAGTCAAAATTATTGTTCTACAATTTGTTAGTGACTTACCTGTTCTCCCACCAAATCCTACTTTATTCACAGAAACTGCAGCATCACACCAATATTTACTGCTCCCCTTCGTGTGTGAGACCATGCATAGACCTGATGTCACACTCGTCAACTTCACTGGCAGACTGTATGGGTGGCACCCGTGAGTGAAAAACACAAGTGGACTGTTTATGTTCAGAATTTCGGAATAAAGACACACACATTTGTTTACTTTGTTTAGGACTGTTCGGGTTTGAAATTAACTTCGGTGACAATATCACCGCTATCATTTGTTATGCTAGTTACCCGGATGCCCAAAATGGCAGCACCCGTACATAAACTCTCCTGGTTACTAGTGCATTTTTCCATTGTCAATAACAAAGTTAGGGCAGCCTTTACCCATTGATGTTGGCACAAATGTTGAACCAAGCAGGGCTGTGTGCCCCTGTTTGCCAACATAATAAATTTCATTGTGTTTTGTTTTGTTTTGTTTTTCTATTCGCAGCTGGGTTCAGTGGTGATATCGCTCTCAGTGAGGATGAGTTCGAACAGGAGAGAAATTATTATATTGAAAAATACCAGAAGAACCACTCGGAACATAAACACCGACACAGTAAAGGTAAAGCGTTGGCGTTGATGGTATGCTTGTCAGTCAATATTCTTGGCACACCAAAGGCATTCCTCCGTCTTTATAATGTTTATAAATGTCACTGGCAGTTGAATCGAACCAGCAATCAACGTTTCAAAATGCTCTAATGTATTATGGGATAATGTTGATTTCAAGAAGGCATCGACTGCCATTGAAATTTATAAAAATTTCTAAAGATGAAAGGAATACCTTTGTTGCATGACAGTAAAAATGTTATAATCTTTCATTACTTTAAAATAACAACTAGACCAACACAACACATATAAACATGTGTGATAGTAAATCAAATGACTGCAGGAAACCTGCAAAGACTTATGGCTTTTATAATGACATTAAAAAATGTCCCAATATTATTCCATCAGGCCAATAAAAATCTCATTCCAGTTTGAATTGTTAACATTTGTATGTAATGTAATAGTCTTTATTGAAGTCCTATCCTAAAAATGGACATAGATCTAAGTACAATAAAGCATGGTTGTCATTCCATGTCAGAAACACGATACACTAGAAGATACACTAGTATAAAAAAACTAAACTAAACACAACTAAAACAACAAACTTGCCCGAAAGTGAGTTAGAAATGAAAATTAATTAAGTAAATGTTAGGATTACTTATTTAGATATCTGTGAGCATGGAGCTAAAAAAAGATTAGCTCCATGCTGTGAGGCAGCTGTTTTTTTTAATTTGCTTTCTCTTATGTTGAAACATTCGTATATATATTTTGCTAGACATTTTAGCATGACAGTATTCTTTGTGCCTTGTATGTTAATAAAGCTTGTATCAGTGTTGCCCTCAGAACACTGTCTAATTGTGTTGAGAAGGATTTGTCTTTCACGTTTGTATAACTGACATTTTAACAGAAAGTGCTCTTCATCTTCAATATCATTTGTATTGCATACAGGACAGCTTCTTTCCGTAATGTCAATTTTATGGTATCTGCCCATTTCAACCTAGAATGCATAAAAGGGGGTGTTTTTTCTAGATTCATCATTCATCATGAATCATTATTCTGTATTTCTTTATTTCAAGATTCTAAACGTGTTCACCACAGATCATCGAGGGCAGCAACTGCTTATCAAGAACGAAAATGGCCATTTGGTGTCATTCCATATGAAATTGATGGTAACTTTACAGGTAAATAGAAAGGGTGAATTCATCCATAATTTTACTTTAATGAAATTTAAATTCTGAGACATGAATGATGGTTTAT